GCCATTGCTAGCCCCACATAAACTCCTTTTAATTGCTCAGAGAAGGGTGGGCGGAGGCAGCAAGTGCTATAGGATCCCCTGCCTGTCAGCGCACCCCTACTGTGCCTTTCAGAGCTTCCTGAGGCTGCAGTCAGACCCAGATGCTGGGCTCCGCAGAACCAGGGGCCATGGTTCTAGCATCTGTTCCACAAATGTTCACAAGGCTTCTACTCAGCTCAGACATTAGCAGTAGGTGGCACCTGTGGCCTGGTCCTCCCAGGGCCAATCAATGAATGCACCAGTGGACCCAGCTGACCTGGCATCCAGCTGCTTCTGTGCCCAACTTGTGCCCCTTGTCGCCGCCTCCTGGCAGCTTTCCTGATTGTGCCTTTGGACTGAAGGGCTCTTCCTCCTGCTAAGGCTGCCCTACCCCATCTGTGGTCCCTGCTTCTGGGATGTCTATTCATCATGGCTGGCAGTTCTCTGTGCCATCAGATCGGTGGTTCTCAACGGGGGCAACTCTGCACCTCCGGGAACATCTGGCAACACCTGGAGACATTTTTGGTGTGCCACTGTTATCTAGTGGGGAGAGGGTGAGTATGCTGCCAGTGCCCTGCGTGCGCAGAGCGGGTTTCTACAACTAGGATTTATCCAGCTCAATGCACCTATGATACCAAGGCCAAGAAACTGCTGACGAAGCTTTAGAGAGCAGTGAACAGAATGGAACTGTGGACAGTTCTCCCTCCTTACCCAGGGCGCAGCTTGTCCCACAGCCCCTGGCTCCAGCTTCCTGCTCCTTTGATCACCCAGCCTGGAGCCCTGTTTCTGAACAGATCCAGCCACACTGCCAACAATGCATCAGTTTAATTGGGTTAAGTGGCCATTAGCAACAAAAGCAGGGCGGCTGTGTGCAGAAGAAGGGTTTTTAATTTTACTTTTTAAATGATGCTCATTCCCCAGAGGGGCCATGGATGGTGGGAATGCTGCCCACTGGAACCCCAAGAACCAAGGCCAGGGCTATACCTCCCTTTGCCCCATCCATGTGACCATGCTGGTGCTGTGGGAGGGCTGCTTGCTGCTCAAGAAAGAAACTGAGGGAAAAGGACTTGACCAAGATCACTAGGTCATCTAAGACAGTGTCTAAGGAGACCAGTGCCCATCTCCTCTTTCCTCAGCCCTGTCTCCTATGGATGGCAAATGCCATGTGGCCACTAATCTTACCAAAGAGGAAGGGGAAGTATCAGGAAGAAGTTTCTAGGGCTGGGTGCTCAGCTGCCTTAATCTATAGTCTGCTTTTACTCTGAGACCTCTCCTGAGGCTTTGTGCCTCACACGGAAAAACAGAAACAAGAGAAGTAACTCAGTGATTTGTGGGCAATCAGGGGTGCTCAGGTTCACTGTGTGCCTGGTATTTGGTGGGTGCTCATTATGTCTGTCATCTGAAGGGAAAACTGAATCTACACAGAATCATCTGTGGAGTACTGAAAAACACCGATGCCCTGTGGCACCTCTGTAGAACTGGAAGTATTGGGTCTGAGGTAGAGCTTTTAAAACTTGCAGCCAGGACTAAAAAGAATGGCAAAGGGGCAAAGGCAAAGTATCTGAAGAGGTCTTGGCCCCTGGGATGATGCGTGGGCCCTGCTGTGGGGTGGCAGTGGGTACACAAGTAAGGGTGGAGGTTCTGCAGTCCCAGCCAGGCCTCTCAACTGTCTCCACTTGTGGGGAGTTGGAAGAAATAAAGACTTTCTGGGAGCAGGGTTCCAGTCTTCCCATGGATATCTTCAGGAGCCTGCTCTAGCCTGGCCTTGGGATTCCCATTCTTTGGGAATCAAGCTTGTTGAGCCACAATGCCATTGACCTTGTCCTGGAGAGAAGGCTGCCTTTACCTTCTCCAAGGTCATGTTCCTCCCATGGCATGTGTCTCTGAGCCATATAGCAAAGGTGGCAGTGATGGTGCTGCAGGTGGCACAACCCTTAAGGATGCTCTCACACGGTGGCATTTATGAATGACAGACTCCAGTGAGAAGGTGCTGGTCTGTGTGAATTTTATTTCTTTTCTTTTTTTTTTTTGAGATGAGGCCCTGCTGTGTTAACTATCCTGGGCTCAAGTGATCCTCCTATGTCACAGCCTCTTGAGTAGCTGGGACTACGAGCTATGGCACTGGATCTGGCTGTTGTGTCTCTTTTACATAGGGAAAACTTGGGCCTGGGAAGGGACTGACATGGGAGCTCCAGCAGGGCAGGAACAGCCTGCACTCCAGCACAGGGCCTGTCACACAGCAGGCCAGTAGTGAATGCTGGTGACTAGATGCAGGGAGAACACAACCAATACAATTACTGAGAAAGGAGTCCTGTGTCAAGATTCTAGCTAGGAGGGCAGGAATGTGCAGATTTGGGTCTAATTCTGCCCATCAATCTGGGCATCTTCTTATCCTCCTGTGACTCCAGACTCTATGAGAGCAGGCCCTGGCTCAGAGGCCCACCTCCTTAGGTAGGGGAAGTGCCAAGCAGTTCCCCTCCATGTGGCCAAAGCTAAAGGCCCAGCAGGCCTAGGGATGGTGCTTGTCCATGTTGCAAGGCCCTGATCTGGCCTGCTTGTACCTGATTGTTGGCCCTGGAAACTGCCCAGAGCAGCCTAGAGAAACATCTAATTGTCCCTGATTAGAAGAGACAATGAACTTCTGCCCTGTGTTGCTTAGCTCCCTCTTTGCAAGCCCCAAATTAAAATTCCAGACCAGAATAAGGGATTTAAATTGGATTACTGAATGGGGTCCGGGGAGAGAATAACAGAGTGGGAGATGGGGGTTCAGCCCCCTAACACCCCTCCCTCCATGTACACTCAGACTGTAAACATACATGGAAAAGAAGAAAGGAAACAGAACTTGATTAAAAGCAAATTTAAAGCATAATGAAGATCAAATCTCACGTTGAATAATTAAGCCCAAGGAGGGGGGAGGGTAGTTCTCTCTTCCTCTGAGGAAGTGGCCAGGACAGTCTAATAGGCCAGGAGCCAGGGCATCATGCAGCAGGAGGGGTCATTGGACAAGACAGTGCTAGACTCAGTGCATACCCCAGGAGTAATGTGTAGTCAGGGCCTGGCTCAGGGTCAGGGTCTATCAATCTGGGTTCAAATCCTAGCTTTGCCATACTCTGTCTTGACACATGCATCCCCAAGTCTCAGTTCCCTCTCTGTGAAACGGCGGGATCTCTCTCTCATGATTGCTGTGAGAACACCACACGACAGACTCAACACGTCATGATCACTGTGCCTCTTTTCATCATTTCCCCATCAGAAGCCATTAAGTGCTGACCACATACCAGACTATGGGCTGGGCTACAGATGCATGGAAAGGAGACAGACATCTGTCCTGCTTTTCAGGGTGTGGGAAACAGTCCAGACCAGGACTTTAGGCCTCTGGCTGTACGAGGCCCCTCATACCAAGTCATCAGGATTGATTATTTTTCTAGGGTTGGATTAAGAGGCTAGGAACAGGGCTGGTGAGATGGCTCCGTGGTCTAAAGCATCTACTTAGAACAAGCTCAGCTAAAGCACAGGGACCGCGGTTCAATCCCCCAGCACCACATGCCAGCCAGCCCCGCCCCCTGGTGGGCTGAGCTGGCCACACACACACACACACACACACACACACACACACACACAAATAAATAAATAAATAAATTAAAAAAAAAAAAGAGGCTAGGAACAGACTCCAGCACATGGTTCCTGAAGAGGACTGTAGGTGGTTGGGCCCTCAGCTCCCTGTATGCAGGGCTTATTTGTCACTACCACCACTCAAGAGCCCTCTTCCAAAACAACCCAGTCCTGAGGCCCAGGAGTGGCAGCCTCATCATAGCCTGAAGGATGCTACTTCCTGCATATGTCAGAAACACTGTGCCCAAGTTTGGTCTGGAAGGGCTTTACTCTACAAACCAGGCATGGGGCAGCAAAGCTAGGAAGTAGTGTGCAAGTCTAGGAGAGGCAGAGAGATAAAGAACGGGAGAAAGGAGGGCCTGCTTGGGCAACAGGGGCTAATGTGCTGCTTGAGTACAGCTGTCAGACTTGGCTCTGCCTCCTCCCAGTGCAGTCTGATGCCCCAAATTTCTCCCCACTTCTATGATGAAGAGATCTGAATTCTGGAGTGGCTGGGACTTCTGGGTCTGTACTGGGTAGGGGGCCTCAGAGTCTGTCTTCTCTGGATTTCTGGCCACAGGAAGCCAAGCTCTCCCCTCCAATCACACTCGATCATACAGGGACAGGCAGGGGATCTCATGAGTGACAGCAGGGCCCATTCCCAGAGAAGGGGACTCTAGTTGTCTCTTGTGGCCTGGATATGGCATACATAGAGTCATTCATTTTTTAAAAAACTGATTTATTGATTTATAATTCACATACTCCCAAATTCACTCATAGAAAGCATACGATTCAGTGACTTCTAGTGTATTCAGAGTTGTACAAGAGCCAATACAATTTAATTTTATGATATTTTCATCACCACAAAAGAAATCCTATACCTATCAGTAGGAACTTACCCCCACCCCCAGTCTTGGGTAACCACAAGTCAACTTTCCATTTTTGTGGATTTGCCTGTTCTGGACATTTTATATAGAAGGGATCATACTGTATGTGGCCTTCTGTCAGGTCTGCAGTCTTCTGCTCTACCAGCTGAGCTATTGAAGGGTATGACATGTGGCCTTTTATCACTGGCTTCTTTTACTTGGTACAATGCTTTGTAGTCATTCATGTTGTAGAAATTATCAAGACTTCATAGACTTAGCTTGGGTAAGGGCACAGGATTGACACGACATAGGGCAGCAGACTCCTGATAGAGACTGTTCTGCTCCTGTCACAGCTGTCCATAGTCTCCATGGATACAGACCTGCTGATGGCTGCCCCACCTAAATTCAGAGGACCAGGGCCTGTGCAATGACAGAGTGCTGAGACACTGCCCTAGTCATAGTCAGGGACACTCCATTTGCACTCCCCTTGCCGCCCCCCACACCTTTGCCGACACACCCGCTCACCTTCAGGGCCTGCACTTTTCTGTCCAATAGGCTCTCAATGTCCCCTGCCACCTTCTCCACCAGCTTCTGAGGCTCATTCTCTTGCACCTCAAACAGGTTCCGGTTGTCCTTGTAGATCTGGAAGGAAGCAGAGACTAGAGGTGAAGCCAGAGAGGCCTCACATTCCCATGCTAGGGCCCAGCATAGTCTCTCTTTATGATTCAACTTGGCTCAGCCTTCACACACACACACACACACACACACACACACACACACACACACACACACACAGAATTGTCTGTGTGCACAGCTCAAAGAGCACAGGGTACGGTGGCTGTGCTGCTTGTCTACAGGAGAGGCAAGGGTGTGGCTCTATTGCTTGTGTGGCATTAGGGACCAGTATTGACCATGCTGGTGGTCAGCAGTTGTTAGTGATGATCCACAGTATCACCAGCTTCTCTGGGCCTCAGAGTCCTTCCTTCAGGGACCACAAGCACTACCTACTGATTTGTTTAAAGTGGAATAGGGGGCTGAGGATTTGGCTCAGCGGTAGAATGCTTGCCTAGCAAGCTGGAAGGCCTGGGTTTTGTCCTTGGCACCCAAACAAAAAATAAACCTCCCCTAAAAAACAATTCTACTAACTAAAGTGGAATAGTAGGGGTAAGGGTGGGCTGTATGGGAGGAAAGAGGCGGGGTGCTGGGGTGAAGTAGAGCCAATAAGCACACACCACACAGTCACATTCCAACGTGAAGATGTTCTGACACCTGGCAAGTACACATGCATACACACCCACACATGCATGCTTGCACACAGCCACCCCTCTACATTGCCCCAAGCAGCTGCATCCCGTTTGCTGGTGCTGCCCCAGGGCACTGCACAAACTGTACCTGAATTCTGGGTGCCCTGGGGGGCTCTTCTGTCATTCAGAGCACAGAATATGGGGGAAGGGATCTGGGTAGAGGGAGTGGGTGGTGGGGAATAGATCTGCCAATCCCTCCTCAGGAGGTGGGTCTGTGTGCATGTGCACGTGGCAGTGTAAATCTGATGGGGTGTGTGTTTGTGACACCACTCAACACAGCAATTTGTATGCACATGTGAGTGCATAGGGGGGTGGGGTTAGGTCCTCTAGATGCAGCCTGGGAGTTGTATGTGTCTTAGAAACAGATTTCTTCAGTCATCTTTGTTTGCAGCTGAGGCCTGTGTGTGTAGGGGGCCATTGTACACATCTGTAGATGTCTCCAAGCCTGATCAGGTCTGTGTATTCATCAAGTGACATCAGGAATCTGTGCCCAAAGGTGGTGGCTTTCTTACCACCAGAGGTCACAGCCTGAGCTGCCATTACAGAGCCTTGTCGCCAGGCTGTGCCAGGCTACTGTTGAAGTGGAAGAATATGGATATAGAGAGATGATGAGCAGAGATAAGAAGGTGACAGAGGCAGCTGATGAGAGACAGACTGGCAGGGAGAGATAAGGTCAGCAGAGTGACAGAAGATGGTGGAGATAAGCCTTCTGTCATCTGACAGGGGATGGGCGGGGGCTGCCGCTGCCAAAGCTCTTGCTCTGCCTGTAGTCAGCTCTGGCATTCCAAGGGTTAAAGCACTGCACAAAGCTGGCTCTGGCAATCTTCTTTTCCCAACACCCTCCACCCCTCCCAGTTTCTCTTTTCTTTTTGTCCTTCTCTTAGAACAAAATAATTTGTGGCAAAGTTGCTCCTTCCTGCAGAGCAGTGGCAAATATGGGGTAAGGTGTAGGCCTGGCTCCACAGCCACAAAGTACGGAACCTGAGTGGACACTGGATCAGGCTATTGCCCAGGCCTCAGGCCCAGCCTCAATCCAGAGGCTTTCAGAAGGCAGCCAGTGATGGAGAGGGAGAGAGGTTAGAACCTGGGGATGGTAGAAAAATGCAGGGAACTTATGCCTTATGTTGAGGAAACTGAGGCTCAGAGAGCAGACAGATCAAGGCCACATGACTGAGAGGCAAGACTCATGCACCCTGAACCATCCTTCCTGAGTCTGGGGACATTAAAAACAACCCCCTCTCTCTACCTTGGACTGCAGCCCCTGAATGAGCTATGGTCATCTTGAAAAGGGTACCCTAGCCCTCTTGTGCCAGCAGGGGGCGCAGCTGCCTGGTTTCCTCAGGGTGGGGGAGAAATTCTTACACTTCAGCCTGTCCTGTCAAGGTCATTGCCAGGATCCAAGGTGGACCGTGTGAGTCTTCAACATTTCTCTCAGGGCCTGAGATACCCCTTGCAGCCTGGCATGATGCCTGGGCTGGGGCTTGTGGCCTGGTGAGAGTAGGTCTCCAGGTTTAAGGACCACATCCCAAGGCCTCAGACAGGTGACAGTCTTGGAAGCTTGAGGCTCTGCTAAAAGTCATTCATCTCTGAACCTTCAGTGTTGAATATATTAAAAGAGAATAGCAATCCTCACTTCATAGGCCTACCAAGCATGACTCAATGCCTGCCTTGAGGACCCTGTACTATTGTTGCCACCGCTATTGTTTAGGGTCACTACACTTCCATGAAGGAATCACAGTCCCCTCCCAAACCTCATTTTCTCCCTGCTACGTCTGCACATGCAGAGCTGTCTAAAGGCATCTGCTTCTATTCCTGAGTTGGCAACCTCACTCTCCTGGGGTCTGCCGACACCTAGCTCTAGTCCCTCTTCTCTGGTCCCTCCCTTAGCCATCCTGTCCTTGTCCCTAACGCCTCAGCCTCAGCCCCAGAGGCGATAACAGAGAAGCCCAGACATTTAGCGCCACTGATCGGGCACAGCTGTGGCCAGCTTCTTTCCATCTCTCCTCAAGCACCTTGTCAGTGCACAAAGGACACTCAGCAGAGGCATCTGACCAATTCCACATTCAAGAGCAGAGCTCTGGCGCCCAGGCCTGAATCCTCCACTTCTGTCCTGCAGCTGTGAGCCCTTGGAGCCCAGGGATGCCTCAGTCATACTTTCCTCCTTCCTCTTCCACTTCTGCCCAAGGACCTGCTATGGTGCCCTTCTGTTGGCACCTGGTGCCTCTCTGTCCATTGACCTATCATGGGCCTGCAGGCCTTGAGTCCTCAGCCCATGCTGTTCCTACTGCCACACATTTGTTCATGCTGTTCCTGTTTCCCTTGAACCTTTCCCTGACTATGTAAAACCTCTCTAGAGTCAGAACAGGGAAATGGATTGCAAGGGGTTTCCTGGGAGACAAGGGGGGAGTTTCAGAATGCCAGGGCCTTGTTAAACTGTCAGCCAAGTTTGAGGTGCAAAAGTCTTTGAACGGCAGGACCTTAGTGTCTCACTCTCTCCTCTACATTCTCCTGGACCAGTCCAGCTGTCCTAGCTGTCTGAAGGCATCCTCTTTTATTCCTCACCGTGGGTCCTGAGCTGAGCCCTGAGGCTCAGGGAGATCCAATCAACACAGCCCAGCAGATGGCCCCACCCCAGGAGATAGGTCATCTCTACACTGATGTGGTCCAGGGAAGTGCTTCCTGCAGGGAGCCCAGGAGAGCTCCCAGGGTAACTCCAGAGCCAGGGTCCTACTCAGGGCTGGTTCCCCTGGAGCTCCAGCCCCCAGCCCTGGTCCCTGGGGCCAGCTAGAAAGTACAGAAAGGCCAGGGCACAGCAGTGCAGGGCCTCAGCAACCATGCAGGACCACATGCCCACCACAGTACTTGGCCCAGGGAGTTAATCTGAAAAAGCCAATAGTTCCCATAGCAGCGCAGCCTGAGAGGTCCCCATCTGTGCTCTCACAGCCGGATGGAGACAGCAATGGGGCCTGAGTCTGTTGTTCCAAGCCAGCCAGTGACTAGGGAGTCTAGGGTGGAAGAACGGTGGTGGGAAAGGGCAGTAGAGAGAGCCAGGTGGGCATTTAGGGATGGGCAGCAGAAGGCCTGAGGAAAACAGAGTGCAAGGGTAGTAGAGGGACACTGGAGAGGTTGTCTGGAGCCCTCCGTTCCTAGGAGTCCCTGGTTCCCCTACCTTGAACCATATAACTGTGGTTATTACTCACCTGGGATGTCCTCTTCCCTTGAAGGTACAACAGCCTGCCAGTAATGGAGAAATGGCTCTCTATCTGTCCCTTCTTCCCATCACTAGCTTCCACTCAAGCCCTCCCTCAGCTCTTACCAACTCTTGCTAAGTGACATGTGCAGCAAGGTTCTTGGCCGAGGGGTCTGCAGACCCTGTGGGGGCTGCAGGTTTCTTAGGAGCCCCGAACCCTCTTCCTAGCATCCTGATTTCTTGGCAGCTCCATATAATTGAGGGGTGAGCCTGGAAGATGTTTGGAGGAACTGTGACCTTGAACAGGAAGTCTACAGACTTGCAGAGTAGAAGGATACTGCTTTGGCCCCATGGAGCCCAAAAGTCCTCACAGGGACAGGGGGGTCAAGTGACTGTCTGTCTGCAGATGCCAGGATCAAAGAGACAGACACCAGAGAAGACAAAAGACCTTAAGACCAGTGACATGCCAGACCCTAGCAGAGGGCATTTTCCAAGGAAGCCAGCAGCAGTGGGATATGCACCTGAACCATCAAGTAAGGGTAGAAGAGGAGAGGTGGGGAAAGGGTAACACAGACCAGAGAAGTCACGGGAGCAAACAACCCATTTATTGTGGATGCTGGCTCTGGCCACCCTGGGATGGATGCTTCACATACTTGACCTCACTAATCCCTGACAATTCTTGAAGAGGGTCCATTCTGATCATCACCATGTAGCAGGCAATACACTGAAGGATAGGTAAAGTCTCAGGGCAAGGCTGGAATCCAAATGGGATCTATCTGATCCAAGCCCTTGCCTTCTGCCCCACTCTGGAGTTCTGTCCCCTGCATTTATGAACCAGGATTTGGCTGGTGTAAAGGGGGCTTGGGATGGGTGCAAGCTGTTGCTGAAGGACAGGCAGGTGACAGGGGAGGGCTATTCTGCAGGGAAAGAGGTGGAGGCCTGGCAGAAGCATGCTGATCTACAAACCCACCATCCAGCCCTGGGGGTGAAAGCAGGAAAACACTTGAGGCTCTCTCTGCAGCGAAGGTGAACGGGCCCTAATCTCTGGAAAATTAAATCAGAAAGAAAATGGAATGAAAACGATTTGATGCAGGCTCAACCTTGCTTCTGTCTGTCTCCTCAAAGGCTCAGGCTCAGTCTGGGTCTCA